ACCAGACTCACATGACTTAAACTCCACTAGATGTTTCTAATTTGGTCAACTCTTGACCAATTAAGACACATCTATTAATCTTGACTTATTCTACCAAAAAATTGAGATTGCACTCTCGAGTTGAGAGACAGTTATAGAAGCAAATTGTGATCTAACAACAATATCCTCCGATTATCGTTTCACAATTCAACCCTCATTTGACTGTCAATATGTTGAAAATGACAAAAATGCTCATTTAGCCCTTCAACATGTATTACTCTCTAAGTTTCATTTTATAAGGCGAATTCGTTGTGATCAAATCTCAATATAATGTCCAATGATCTCATCATCGGACTACTGAGCTCAGGTTCAATTTGTCTATAGAAAATACCTTAGAGTGACCATCGTCTCATCTCGATGATTAATGGATTCAACTATCGCAACAATATGATCTTTAATTATTTTAGCCCATTTCCCAAAAACCAAAATCCAACATTCTAATTAAAACTTCACTCATTGGTGTTTCAAACTTGAACTAGCAATCAAAGGTACATTACTCGCTCAGGATTTAGGTAACTTTTTTGATAATTGAGTAGAGTCTCATTTAGAGTGACCATAAATGAATCATCTATGCGATCTTGTTCAACGTGCATAAAAAAAACATCATTATTCTTATTCCAAAATTTAGACAAATCTTAATAAGAACAATACAATTTTATTAACATAATGTGCCCAACTTTACGCACTGATTGTAAACAACATATTTTTTTATCACATTACAAATTGTGTCTTACTATAAACAAACCATCGAGTATATATGAACATGAAATCTTAGATAATCGTTTCAATATGTAACATACGAATAATTGAATGTCAATTTATAATGTCGTTTTACAAAATACTACTTGAAAAATGCATCAAACTATCATTCATTTCTCTAAAACCACTTATCTAGGTTATCATCGCTTTCAAGGAGAGTCAGTAAATGGAGAGACACAATTCCACATCTTAACCTGATAATTTCTTCAATTCAAGGACTTCGAATGCTCCAACTCAATGGATCATTTCCCTTATTCTCACCTTCAGGTGATCTTATTTCATTCAATCCTGACTTTGATTAGAACTCTGGCCTAAAAGTTGTGAAATTGGATGGTTTGGAAAAATGGATATTGTTTGAGAAATGCACAACTTTTTACAATTCGTGAAGACCGACAGAGAACAATGTCGTTTTTTCATCTATTGGACCGATTTTTGAGTCCGTAAGAGCAACTGTCCAAATTACTCAAGTCACCTTCAATCCAGCAAATCTAAGAGATGACTGTGAAGATATTCTTATGGATATCAAGATTCTCACGTAAAGGAAACAGGTAATAATGCTTTTCCTTCATGCTCACAAGATGGAGAATGCCACACGTTTTATGCAATGTGATTTATACCATAAGTTTACGGTGTCAAGTTTTTTAATATAGTTTTGAAGTAAGAGTGTCGAACACGCAGGGATTGTAATTTAATTTCTACCAAGCACTATAATTTGGTAGCTTCTATTTTATCTAGACAAATGGAAATTTAAATCAAAATTGCTAACTAATCTAGCGATGATTTTGGTGACGAATTCAAGAGATGCAAATTACACGAATAAATCGAGATGGAAAAGCCTATGGAATGATTTCACCGTATTCTCGACGATATTTTTCAACCTCTATAGCAATTTCCATCAACTATTTTTTAAATTTATAGGTAAGAACCCTAAATTAATTATATCCCCTCTCTCGAGTGCCAAATAGAACTTATTTCTATATTTTAATCTCAATATCTCTATTCTAAATTGAACATATAGAAATTATCAAAGCATTTGGTTCTTCAGTGGAATTACCTTCAAAGATTTGCACTTTCTCTCAAAACCTACGAAATCTAGGTTATGTTATTCTTAGATCACGCCTAATTTTCTCTCTCTCGAGCGCTAAATTTAAAGCATCGAATCATTTAATTGTTGATCAGGCAATTGAAAGCATTAAGCAAGAATACCATAAATAAATTCCAAAAAAATCAAAGGAAATAACTTATTGGAATCAAAACATGCCTCAAATAGGTTACGTCAAACCCTAGATCTCAAAGTTAGTTTATAATTGAATTGATTGACATAATAAAATACACAATAAGGAACATGGAGAAGAAGTAGGGAATAAGAAAAACTAGTTGTGTTGTATGAGTTCTTCCTCCAATCGTTGTTAATCTTCTTACAATTGCTTTTGTTGATATTTGCCTTTTGAGATTTCCTCTCTTTACAATCTCCTTTGAACCATCCAGAAGAAAAAAAGAACTTCTTCGTTCAGTTTGTCCCCCATAAGTTAAGTAGTATAATAGATTTTATTTCCATAAGAGTTTGTGTCAAAAAAGGAATCTTCCCGATTTTTTTCTGAAATATGCCCATGTGCGTGCGCGGTATACTTCCTGGCGTGCGTGCCACATACTACTTTTACTCTTTATATATGAAGTTCAAGCCTGTGAGCGCGCAAGAGTATTGGCTTGCACGCGTACCACTATGAAATCGTTCTATGTATTGCATTTTGGTCTCTAGAGTTCATTCTTCATTCCTTTTGGTTCATATATGATATCTTCTTGATCTTTCATGATCCAATAGCATTTAATTGCCTCTAGCTCTTCTTCAATCATCAACAACAGGTTCGAATCAACTTTTGGTACTTTGCAATTTAGTCCCCAAACTTTTGATTAAGTCCAAGTTAACAAATTACTCGCTCTTCTATCCAATTTCATTGTTTTGCCTCAAGTTGCACTTAACAAACGAAATATGTATAGAGTTAAGTATCAATTCATCCCAAAAACAATAATTGCTCTAGTTTAATAACTAAAATAAGTATATAAAATACAAATACCCCCAAACTTGAGCAATATTTTGTCCTCAAAAAAGCCAAATCAAAGAAAATCATTAACATCCACACAAACATAGCTAAAAACACACAAAATTACTTAAAAACAAATTTTGTTAGATATCTTACCTTCATAGATCAGGATTGAAGTCATAACATCGACTCCATGAATCACTTCAAAGTTATAATGTACAAGCTAAAATTCTTACATACAATGTAAAACGGGGATATGTGTGTGTGTGGAAAGAGTAAGTGCAACGCTGTACAAGAATAAATTCACCAACCTCCCAACTTTAAAAGTTAACTATTTCCTTACTTCACTCGTGGGATTCACAAACACCTCCAAACTTATTTTCTTTTGTCTTTCCCGTGGTGTAATCTAAGGTTAATTTTCAATACTAATTTCTCACACCACTCAAGTTTGGTTAGATTTTACTGATTGCAATTCCACATGTCAACAAATGAGGATTCTCCTTATTTTTGACTGATTCAAACTCTAAGAATTAACCAAGTTACTAACCTCTGTCAAAAGGTCCAATCCTCTAAAATAAGTGTTCGAGGCTTAATCAAGGCATTTGATATCCAAATTCTTTTATCCTTTAATCACCCTTTGTGCGGATATCCCTCCATTTGACTTTCTATATGATCCCTGTAACGAGCTGTAGGTCGATGACTCCCAAATAAAATGACTTTAGGTCATCAGATTTTAAACCCTTACAAGCTTAATCACTCGAGTCATGAAGGCTACGAAGAGACGATTCACAATAAGATTATCAAAGTCGTCCTCATTGGGATCTTTATTTTTTTTTATTATTTTTGCAATGATTAGTGCAATGCCCCTTATTAAACACTCATTCTCGAAAATTGACATCTAACTTAAGGTTTTTACCCAATTTTCATCATATTGGTCTTAGACAGTCCCCGCAAAAATTGACAAAGACGGAATCTACATTTATCTCCAAGTTTCTCCACAGCAGTGCAATCTTCCAAACATCCTAGATTTGGTTTAAGGGTATACTAATGTTTAATTGTTCTTTGGATTTAACAATCTAAGTTCTCTAATCCAACCTATAAACATGAATCCATCTATTTATGCACAACGCTACAATCAACTCGTGTGCAAAATAATTTCCGTTTCACTCGAATAAATTAAAATTTGACTCATACACATAACTTGTCCACGATTCATAAACCAGTGCATGTTCTCAATAATATACATCATTGCCGGTAAGGCTATCTAATTCACATAAGCATGAAGACAAGAATTTTTTTTTTAAACAATGCACACAAATAAAAAAAAAAAGCACACAAATCACACGAAATAAATAAAAAAAGGCAATTAGACAACTTATCATACACTCCCACAAACTTAAACTAATCATTGTCCACAATGTGAAATTAAAAGAAAAGGATGAGGACTTTCCTGAATTGTCAACGACGGTCTAGTGCTCTGATGTTGAATTTGATGGACGCTTCTTCTCGTTTTACCCCCCAAACTTGAGATTTATCTAGCTTCTCCTTGTTAATGTTGGTTTGATTGTTCCGCGACGTCATGTTCCTGAAAATTCAAAATGTAGATATTAAACTCATAGAACAAGTGTTACTTATCTTGGACATCAGTAACCAACTTGATTATTCAAAGACCTAAGGGGGACAGTGTAGGGCTGATGAATTTCCAAATAAAAAAAACTTTGAAATAAAATAAACTATTTTATAATTTAAAAGAAATAAAATAAAATAACTGAAAGGGTAAGAGCGTTAGGGTTGTCTCCAAAGAAGCACTTCTTTATAGTCACTAGTCAACCGCAACGCCTACTGTGGTCCTCAGGTGGCACATTTCTCTTGTTTCTGAACTTTATCCTTGGCTTTGTATTCTCCTTCATTATAAGATGACGAACAAAATTAGGCAATTTTGAACCTGGTATGGCCTTCAAGACCTCTTTTGGTTTGGCAATATTTGGAGGTTTCAAAGGCCTATCCACATAACTCTCCTTTTTTGTCAGGTAGGTCATCTTCTTGGGGCTAAGATGAAATCCACCGCCTTCTTGGTTCCTAAGTCATTACCATCAGTAGATGCATCCCTTGCTAAGTAACTATTGTCATGTATTGCACTAATGGATCATAAAATAATTCTCATTTTTCTCTGTTTCCTCCAATTACTTCCGCTGATTGGATCATTTTGCAAATGTCAACTTTTTCTTTTTCCAAGGCTTTCTTTTCTCGATGGATATAGAACGTTACTTGCTCTTCATCAACCCGTAGTGTCAACTTCTTTTCTTGCATATCAATCAATACTCTTCCAATAGCCAGGAAACGTTGACCAAGAGTCAACGGTACTTTCTCATCCTCCTTCATATCCAACAGCACAAAGTCCACCAAAAAGATGAACTTATCAAGCCTCACCAATACATCTTCAATAATGTCCTTGGGATATGTGATCGATCTATGTGCCAGTTGCAAGGTGAGGGTTGTGGGTTTTATTTCTCCAAGACCCAGCTTTTTGAACACTGGTAGGGCATCAAGTTTATGCTAGCTCCAAGGTCACACAGTACCCTATCAAATGTGATATCACCAATATTGCATGGGGTGTTGAAGCTGCCCGAATCTTTCAATTTGTGAAGGAGCTTCTTCTGAAGTATGGCACTACACTCCTCTTTCAGCTTAATAGTCTCGAACTCCTCCAAATTTCTCTTGTTTGACATCACTTCTCTTAAGAACTTGGCATAGTTAGGCATTTGGGCCAAGGCTTCTACAAAGGGAATTTTGATGTAGATTTTCTTGAAGACCCCTAGAAAATTTGTGAATTTCTCATCAAACTCTTTCTTCAAATGCCTCTATGGGAATGGTAGTAGGGGGTCAAGATTGGTGGGTTATCCGAAAATGAAATTGAGTAAGGCTTATAAATCTTTTTTGTTGCCTTTGCTTTAGTTTTCTACCTTTCAGTCTGCACTTTACCACTCTTCAAGGTAATAGCATTGTAGTGTTCCCGTGGGTTAACTTCTGTGTCACTGGAAAATTGTCCACTCTATTGAGATTGTATTGCAGTAGCTATCTGACCAAGCTGCACCTCTAGATTCTTCACCGTGGCCCCCAAGTTGGTTAAACGAGTCTCAATATTATAAAGTTTTACCTCATCTTTGTTGAATCTCGATCTGGTCTCTGAAATGAAAGTTCCTAAAATATCTTCCAGTGATGGCTTTCGCTCAGACGCCTGCTATTGAACCTCTGATAGTAGTTGTTTCTTGAGCAGTTTTTCCTTTGATTGAAGTTCTGGTCGTTTACATACTGAAGTTGTTCATTCTCCCTTTCAACTTTGTGGTATGCAGTGGATGTAGCCATAATAGATTCTGGTTTCTTTTGTGATCCATGTGAAGTCAATGCAACTATTTGATTAGTGAGAGATAACATTTGAGCTGCAAGGGCAATAATGGGATCCACCTTATAAAGGCCAGCAACTTTCTTTGCACTTCAATGCTCACTCAGCCATTAATAGCTATTAGTGGCTATATCATCCAATAATGTATACGCCTCATTTGGAGTCTTAGATAATAATGTCTCCTTGCTGCAGAATCCAATATTGTTCCTGTTAGACCATTTATCCCGTTATAGAAGAGTTCAATTTGCATCCAATCCTGATAACCATGCTGAGAGCATTTTCTAAGTAGATCTTTGAATCTCTCCCAAGTTTCGTAGAATGGTTCGAAGTTTGCTTTTCTGAACCGATCAATTTCACTCCTCAACTGAGCTACCTTGGAAGGTGGGAAGTATTTTGTTAGAAACCTCTGAGCCAACTCCTCCCATGTTGTGGTGGATCTATATGGCCAAGATTGGATCCATGCTTTGGCTTTGTCTCTTAGGGAGAAGGAAAATAGATGGAATCAAATTGCATCTTCAATAACACCATTCATATTCACCGTATCACAGATCTCTAGAAAGGAACCCAGATGAGCATTTAGATCTTTTGTTGGAGCTTCTCCAAACTGATTCTACTACACCATGTGTATAAGTCCTAGCTTTAGTTTAAAGTTGTTTACAGCAATAGCTGGGTGTACAATATCGGAGTAATTTTCATTGATAACTGGTCTGATGTAGTTCCTTATAGCTCGTTGTTGACTATTTTGATTGTTCTAATTTGCTATTGGTGGATCTTATTTTGCCATTGCTTCACGGTTGTAACTCTGAATATCCCTTAGAAATTTGAAAGTTTGTTTTGGTTCAGGATCAACGGTAGTAGTCCAACATTCCTCAATCTTCGCATAAACCTAAAACAAGCACTGCAAAATAGTTAAAGGAAAAGAAATCTAAATTAAACTAGAAATTACTTGATAATAATATTAGCAAAAATTAAATTATACAATCCCCAGCAACGCCACCAAAAACTTGCCATACATTTTATGCAATGTGATTTATACAGCAAGTGTATGATGTCAAGTTTTTTAATATAGTTTTGAAGTAAGAGTGTCGAACCCACATGGATTGTAATTTAATTCTTCCAAGTATTATAATTGGGTAGCTTCTATTTTATCTAGACGAATGGAATTTGAAATCAATATTGCTAACTAATCTAACGATAATTTTGATGACAAATTCAAGGGATGCAAATTAGACGAATAAATTGAGATGGAAAAGCCTAGGGAATAATTTCACCGTATTCTCGATGATGTTTTTCAACCTCTATAGCAATTTTCATCAACTCTTTTCCGAATTTATAGGAAAGAACCCTAAATTAATTCTATCACCTCTCTCGAGCGCTAAATAGAACTTATTTCTATGTTTTAATCCCAATATCTCTATTCCAAATTAACATATAGAAATTATCAAAGCATCTGGTTCTTAAGTGGAATTAGCCTCAAAGATTTGTGCTTTCTCGTGAAATCTAGGTTATGTTATTCTTAGATCATACCTAAATTTTCCTCTCTCGAGTGCTAAATTTAAAGTATCGAATCATTCAATTGTTGATCGGGTAATTGAAAGCATTAAGCAAGAACAATATAAATAAATTTCAGAAAAATCAATGGAAATAACTATATTGGAATCAAAATATGTCTCAAATAGGTTACGTCAAGCCCTAGATCTCAAAGTTTAGGTCATCATTGAATTGATTGACATGATAAAATACACAATAAAGAACATGGAAAAGAAGTAGGGAATAAGAAAAACTAGTTGTGTTGTGTGAGTTCTTCCCCCAATCGTTGTCAATATTTTTGCACTGCTTTTGTTGATCTTTGCCTCTAGATATTTTCTCTCCTTGCAATCTCCTTTGAGCTATCCAGAAGAAAACCCATATGTTAAGTAGTATGATCGATTTTATTTCCATAAGAGTTTGTGTCAAAAAAAGAATCTATTCGATTTTTTTCGAAATATGCCCGTGTGCGTGCTCCACATACTGCTTCTACTCTCTCTATATATGATATTCAAACCCGTGCGCGAACGCCTCTTTGAAATCTTTCTATGTGTTGCACTTTGGCCCCTATAGTTCAATCTTCGTTCCTTTTGGTTCATATTTGATATTTTCTTGATCTTTCATCCTACAATACCACTTAATTGCATCTAGCACTTCTTCAATCATCAACATCAGGTCTGAATCAACTTTTGGTACTTTGCGATTTAGTCCCCAAACTTTTGATTAAGCCCAAGTTAACAAATTTCTCGCTCTTCTGTCCAATTTCATTGTTTTACCTCGAGTTTAATGATTGAAATAAGTGTATGAAAGTACATTTATCAGATAATCAATTGTGTTTCGATTAGGCCATTCAGGGTATAAGAATTTGTATATATTTGATGCCATCAATGGAGAGTTTGGGGTAGAATTCATCAGTTAACTAAAGGGCCTTGGATTGATACAATGCCAAGCTGGGCACCTGATGGGAGATTAATTGCCTTTTCTTCAAATATGCATAACCTGGACAATGTGGAGTTAGTTGGGATATACACAATCAAGCATGATGACACAGATGTAAGGATGATACATGTAGAATTTAAAAAAGAAAGAGATAGGCTAAATCATGTTTGCTTTAGTGTGGATAAAGAGTGGTTGCTATTCACAGCTAGCTTGGGTAGAGTTACAACAAAGTCGGTGTCAATTTCTAACCAATTCCAACCCTGTGGAGACTTGCATCTGGAAAGGTTGGTTGAAATTGTATTAATGAGGCTAACATAGAAGGCTATGAGAATGGGATGCTAGCCTAGCATCCAATGATCATTGGGAAGAAATTAGAATGTGAAGGTAATGCTGATAAGCTTCAGTTTGGCTCTTGTCTTTGTTAGTTGACATTTGAAGAGACAAGTTTAAGGGTCAATTTAAGGGACCTTTGTGGATGTACTATGATATTCAATTTAGTCAGTTGATGGATTGCAATCATGGAAGATAAATTAAAGGGGGTTGAGAGATTATATGAGAAAATAAATATAGGGTAATAATACTAATTATTTGGATGTGTATCTTCTATTGTTACCCTCATTAAAAATTGTAAGCCTACAGCCCATTTCTTCCTCATCTATTGTGATTTTTAGATTTTTTTTCCTATTGACATCTATTTTACATTACAATGCATAATGTCTTTGGTTCTTTATATGGAGATTAATCTAAAAATTCCCTATAAAATGTCATAGGTCTAAATACTGAAAACTACTATATTTTGATTTCGTAATTGTATCTATGTTTCTGATCTTTCATGATGCATATCACAAAAAATTTCAAAGAAATTGTTAAATGTTGGGCCGCCTCACTATTTACTTGGCCTAATGGGCTGCATTATTCACCAAATCAGGTTTGAGGCTCATTTCATTAAAATGTGTTTTCATGCTACATACCCTTTTGCCTCTGTTAAGTAGGTTATGCTCTGCTGTACACGTGGCTTATTCTTAACCTTGGATTGAGATAGGTCGATATGAATATATACATGTACTTGGCCCTCTCTCTTCGTCTTCAGTGTGTGTATAGTTGAACGGTTCTTTCTCTTCGTGTGGGCTAGGGTTTTCTTTGAAAATCTGTAACTAGAATCTGTATGTTGTAATCTCTATTCTTTTAGTAAGAATGAGGGTTGATCTAAATAACCTTTGAGAGATCTCTGAGTGTCGGTTACTGATTTGTAATAGAGAGATTTCTTTATATATTTATGTACTATTTCTTGGTTGAGTTTAGTAGATCTGGAGCTATATCTCTTGACAAATGCTCAACGGGTGATTAGGTCATTTAGACTGAACATTCAAGCCCTTTTAAAGAAAAACAATTTTGGTGTTCTCGTGCCCTTTTTTACTTTCCGCAACGTTAAGTTTTGTATAATTTTTCCATAAATTGATTTTAAATCATCTTGGACCAACAAATGTTATCATAGCCTCTTTTAAAAAAATTTGGCTCGGTATCATTTTTCTTCCAAAACCCCTAAACTTAAAATCTCTTATTAAAGTTGCAGATCTGGTTTTTCTTGAAGTTTTGCGTAAAAAATTGATTTCTAAATTTTTTGATTGTTGATCTACCATTGATTCAACCTTTTGTTGGCTCTTTTATTGATAAATTGGTACTGTCTCGGTTAGATATACAAAATCTTTTGGGATAGTGTGTTCTTTTCGAGATTAAAATTTTATGTTTCTTCAAAAAAATTTCTAACTGGCTTTTGACTTGTTTTAATATGTTGTTTATACTGAGTTCTGGCTATTTTGATCTGACTTGCAACTACTAAGTTTTGGTGGATCTTACAACTCGTACTAAGTTTTCGCGAGTTAAGTTGGCTTA